CGTTTATTTATAAATGTGTCGTAACCCTCCACCACCCGACACGGCCAATCAGCAAAAAAAGTGTCACGTTGACAAAAGACAAATAATTCACTACTTTAGCCCACCGGTGTGTTGAAGCGTGAATCCACATTTACAGTTTGAGTACGACGTTTCGCTGGTAAATACTTCCAGCATCATCGGGCAATTCGCCAGAATGGTAAAGCCCTCGCTTGCTCCCAATTTTATATAGAGCAGCAGGGTGACGTCATTACTTAACTCATATCAGGTGCAGTGATTAGAGGCGGAGGGGGGGGTAATGTAATTATATAATCGATTAGTAATCAGTCATTGGTTATGATTAGTAATGAGTTGTAGATTAGTAATTCTTTAAATCAAAATGTAATGTGTATTATTTAATGATACGCTTCCAGGCCGCACTAAGCCGGTAGCTGTCAGAGCGATTAAAGTTATTCTTGTTCCTCTCAATTTCAATGGATTCTCTAATTAGTCTTTGCCAGTAATAATTAGTTTTACACACCACTGCAACATTGTCAAAATCAATTGAGTGTCCTTGTTGACAAGCATGTTCTGCCACTGCCGACAGTTGTGTTTGAGATAATTTAATATTTCTCTGATGTTCTTTTAGTCTTACACTGATGTTACGTCCCGTCTGCCCAATGTAGCAGCTGCCACATGAACAATTAATCCGATATACACCTTCTGTTGATAGTTTAGGTAATGCGTCTTTAGTGCAAGATACTAGTTTTTGAATTTTGTGTACTGTAGCAAATCTTACTGTAATGTTTTGCTTTTGCAAAACGCGGGCTAATTTGTCAGTTACTCCTGAGATATATGGAATTTTTATTGTTTTAACAATCTGGTCGCTTTCAGCAGTATTGCTTTGCGATCGTGATTTGGCATTCAGTGCTCTGTTAATTTGAGCATTATTGTAGCCATTCTGTCGTAGTGCGTCTTTAACGTGTTTATCTCTCTCACTAGACTCTCACCATCTGACACTGTTTTAGCCCGATGTATGAGCGTCTTGATAAGAGAGGATTTCTGAGCTGGATGATGATGTGATTCTGCATTCAGATAGGCATCAGTGTGCGTTTGCTTTCTGTAAACGCTGTGTGCTATTTTACCGTTTAGGCCATGTCCAAGCAAAATATCTAGGAATGGGAGTGTGTTATTCACCTCCATTTCCATGGTGAACTGGATGGCCGGGTTTTGTGCATTGAGATGATTTAGAAAATCATTAAGTGTATCTTTACCATGTGGCCAGACAATCAGATAATTTAATATGGCAAAAATGTCACATGAACTGATTATCAAATAGTAGAATTAAAAGTTTACAATCCAGGAATGTGTAACATCGAATACATATCCACAGAACCGCTTGTTCGCTTCATGAACACTTTAATAACACCTATGTTTGCATGTTCACCACAAGTACGTGTGGTTAATGCAGACTTGATTCCTTGAAAAAGGTATCGAGTTGGTATTTGACCATCTTAACACCTCCGTTTTTGTAGCCCAAAAGGATAAAACCTATTCTTATTTTTCAAAAATATATTATTTGAAATGTATGTGCCCCAACATCTTCGAAATATAAATCCTTCACAATATCACGTCATCATATGCCGTGCAGTGTGGGTCCACACCACTAAAAACCAATACTCTTCAGTTTATGAGACGCACGGTCACCTCTGTGGTTTTAAGCAAAAGTTGGCAATGTGTCTCATAATACGCAGAATACATTTATGTTTTTGGAAGACGTGTTTTTATCTGGTGTGGTAGTTGTTCAGAATCATCTCCTGGAAGGCCGGCAATACACATACAGTAGCAAGGCATGGCTTTGTTCCCCAGAGGATGGAAGACATCACTGCCTGATCAGAATGATCCACGAGAAGACATCCCTACCCCGTTCTAAAGCAGCTCATTCATAATTATCTTCTGCAAGACGGCTCAATCTCCATAGTCGTGCCTTATTCTTACCATTTTAAACAAGAAAAATATACCCCAATGTTTTGGGGCATCTTCCCCAACATTTGGCCAACATTGGTGCAATGGTTCCAATGATATGTCAACGTTGTATGTTAATCAGGGTAACTTTCTGGTGCGTCCTATAATGTGAACAATACGGCACCCAACCCAATGTTTACATGTACAAAACCTTATAAAAAAACAATCAAATTGGGGTTCCTTTACTAAACTAAACCAATTATTTGTATTCACTACGCAGTTAACTAATTCTAGTATTTTCCTTGATTAGAGCTATCTGTGGAGAGAATACATACACCACGTAGAAAGTATTCACGTGTAAAATGTATTGCATCTGAAAAAAAGTGTATGTATGTATGTTGAATTATTTTCACACCGTGCGTAGCCAACTGTGGTTATCGGAGGTACAGGGAAGGTCAACAAACTCACTGTGGAAGTACAACAAAAAAATACTATAACGTGAATTGTTATTCTGTTTCGTTTAATGATTCTATGAGTTATATATATACATATCATCGTTATGAAAATTGCCTCCCACAATCGCTGAGGAACCACAAAAGCTGCAAGGAAGCCAGATGGTGAGCTGGAGCCAACAATTACCTGAGCTCTGTGCTCTTTTATATATTAAGATGTTTCCAGCCAATTAATGAGTGTACGTGTGGGAAGAAATTTCGAGCACCCGGAGAAAACCCACGCATACAAGGGAGCAACACTCTATCCCATAACACATTCCTGCGAAGGGAGCTGGTAGGAACGTTGGGTTGCTCGGTCAATGGCCAGGGTCAACGGCGGCACCACGTGGTGTATTCCGCAAATATGCCCGACTGTGAGGGCGGGCACAAGCCGGCGGGAGTAGGTTAAACGTTGAGTTTTATAAGGGCACCACGATTAAATCAAATTTTTGAAATGTATTTTTGCTTTAAAATGTACCACAGTGCATCTAGCCGAGTGAAAACTCACGAGACCAGGAAAGAGTCGCGGGCTCATTGACAATAAACCCCACCACAGAAATTTGGACTGAGGACCTCACGGAGACCCAGATTGGGAGCGCAAAAGCTCCAACCTCGTCGCTTACCGCTGCCTTGTAGGAGTACTGTATTGAAATTATTAACTTACATTTCATAGTGGAGACCTACACATGACACAGCATGTGATACTGGGTTGTGACGTGTCTTGGTTGCATAATAAAGCTTTGGCAGAGCGAGTAACGCTGAAACTAACATTGCTCCCAGTCACATGGAGCCGTTGATGCAGTAAAATACATTTTTATGCAATTACACATCGTACATGAATAGTTTTACTTCATGTAACCATGCTGATAATCATTGCAGCAAATGACGAGGTGAATAAAAGTAAGGTTTATAAAGTGAACTAAATATATTATAAGGGAGGTTGGATTTGAACCCGTGATCTCGTGACTACTGCCGTCTTGTGGCGAGGTTTGTAAAATATTAATGATCTGAATTTAATTACAATTTAATTAAAAGTTAAAAAGAGGGGGATATCGGCCTTGACGGTACTGAATTAAGTTACAGGCAAGCAACACCTTCTCACCCATAGCGAGGGGATTGATTTGTAATAGAAGCCCTCCTACAAATTTGGTAGCTCCCGTAAAAGGTGTTAGACCCCCCTTAATAAAAATGCTACCGGCTAAAAATATTATTATGCTAATAATTAGTGCAACAAACGACGCGCTAAATAAGATTGTTTATTAAGTGAAAAAAATATTACGGAGGTTGGATTTGAACCCACAGCCTTGTAACTGCCGCCCACTTGTGACGAGGGTTGAGTGTTGCATTCTGTGATGACTGTGAGCCCTGGGGTGTCTTACCACACTACGGGATTACTGTTATATGAACCTTATGGCGGGACCCCGGGGTCCCGAATCAACGGGAGTCAAAATCGTTATTAATTTATTTTTAGCGACTCCATCCCACCGCGCATATAGACGCAGAGACCCACCTGGCGCGGATCATTCTGTTGTCATGTCGTCCAAGCGCAGCGAGGACGAATGCGCAGAAGAAACACAACTTTGAAACGTTGATTAGCGCATCATGTCGAGCTCGACGACAGGAATAGATTGCCGTATCGTTCGCCTTCAACAGACATGAAATGACGTCGCAACGCAGTTCATGCGAGAGCCGGGGGCTTATGGGACCCGCCATATGGTTCGTTTGAGGTTCATTATTATATTTATTGAAAACGTTTTCCTAGCGAAGGCAGGCTTTATGAACTAGTGATATTAAACCCTTTGCCAAGCTAAATATCAATCCGGGCTCTGTTTGTTCTTTCGTCAGCCACGCGGGGGCAACACGAGTCTTGCCGCCTGTGACGTCATCCCAGCGCCTCATGGGAAACGCGTGCCAACTCCACCAATCACGATCACGCGGCCCTCAATTATGGTCGTTCGTACTTCTAATAGGGGCACGTGTTCTCATCGTTTAACACAGTTTGACGCAGTCCACATTGTCATCAATTAAACGTTTTAATAATCTCAGTTCATATCACCTGTTCTGATATACAGGAGGTGGCAAAATGTTGTTCTACTGCTGTTAAAACATAATGATCAAATACCTGTGGTGTAGCTATTTACAATGCTGGGTGGGCATTGGTTCAACTGCCGCTCGGGGAGATCGAACCCGAAGACCTCTGCATTACACATCCAGTGAGCAAACCTTGACACCACGGCAGATCCACGTACATGTGGACATATCAGTCAAATCTTGAAGTGAAAACGCGGACATCTCATTTGCGTACAATTATTACAGCACGGGTTGTGGTGTCGGCTGCGAGTGACGATGTAGATTTAACTTAATTCGTCCCCGTGCAAACTCCTCCACTGCCTCCATCAAGCGCCCGCTTGATGACAATGTTGGGGCCGCTTGGCACGCGCCTCCCAGTTCATTGTCTGTTGATGTTCTTGCTGCTGCTGCTGTGCTCTGGCATCACGGACTTCCCTTGTCAATTAGCCAAGAAACGAGATAAACGGGACCAATCAAAAACAATTATCACTCAATCGCACAATGAGAGCGAGCAGGTGTGAGTGGTGACGTCACTGGCCGCCCTGCATAAAAGCCGCAACGAGAGGGGGCAGCAGTGGTTGTTGAAGCTGCAGACGTCTTTTTCAGGTATTGCTTGCGGTGCTGTGTTGGGCAAGATGCCTTGTGTCGTGGGTCGCTCTGCAACGCGCGGGTGATACCTGGGTTCGTTAAGAGCGGTGCGCAGCGCTGGTTGAGGTTTAGACCAGAAATTGTGTTTGTAACAAAGCTGGAGGAGTACGTGATTGATGTTCTGTCTTGTTGTAGTTCATCATAGTTTGGTGCATAGTGAGGTGCCGTGTGCATTGTCTTCACGTGATTGAAGACTGTCTCGTTGTGTTTGTCGTGTCCTCGCAGATTCCTCTTGCGTACTGACTCGACCGTGCATTTCTTGGGAAGATGAGCGACCTCCATGCAGCCACCCTGAAGCTCCTGGCCACCTTCAATGAACTCGCCTGCGACAGTGCTGTTAAAGATTGTCTGAAGAAGGAAACGTTCAGGAGCTTCCTAAAGGGGGATAAGGGCAAGAGTCTGATCCAGGTGGGACGTTGCTTTACTATTCCTATGGACCAGTCCCCTCTGTTTATCCCATTTGAGTCTCCGGTTGTATCCTATGAAGTTGTTGTACCATCGTCTCCATTCTTCTGTAATAAAGGTTTTTGGTTTGGATCACGTAAATATCTGTTAAACCCGACACGGCCAATTGGTAGGGTTTGTCACGTAATCCGTGCTGATTAGCTGCTACTTTAGCACGCCGGTGTTGGAGAACTTGCAACTTGTGCTATTTAGCTGATTTGATAATTGGCCTCATGAGGCGATGGCCAATATTGTGCAGCAGTGTTTCGGTCTTAAAGAGATGGTGTCTGACTGGTCCTAATCGTGGGTGTGTAAACGGGTAGGAACTTAATGTAGTCTTATGTTCGAATGAACCTCCTTAATTCTGAGAATGCAGTACGTATTGCAGTTGGCTAATTCACAGATCAACATGGTTAAATGACCTCGATTTGACACGTAATTGCACCGTACTGTATCGCTTGCTGTAGATTTTGCCCGTGTTCCGCAGTCCAGGTCCAGTCTTTAACTATTGCTGTTGCGATTCCATTTAGAATCCCGTGGATGGGTTCGTGGTGAGCCACATCCTGAGGGACCTTGGTGATGACAAAGATGGGAACGTCGACTTCCTCGAGTTCGTGGTCACGATCGCGGCCTTGAAATTCTGCTGCCACCCCAACTTCCGAGCGCACCACGAGCGGAATGGCCGGACCCACGCGCTGCGCGCATTCCAAGTGTAACGCGCCTGTTGCATGATACGGATACTATGAAATAAACCGTGTGATCACATCAACGTGGCGTGCTTTGTGACCTTGATACTCTAGGTATAGAATCAAGTGCAGTGGTTATCCATGCAATGTCCACGATGGGCAGCTACCAGGATGAGTCTAGCGTTATGGAACGTGCCAGGAATGCGTTTCTTGCTTGCATTTCTGTGGTTTTGTAACTGAAAGGATCTGTAAAGTTGACGATTTCGCGACGTAGGATAAGCTGCACTATTCATTTTCATACCGCCGTTTACACTCCGTGAATTTGCGTGGGTTTAAACTTGATTAGCAAGTGATCTTGATTTCTTGCACGTTCTTTCCCAGCGACAACCCAACCTTTTGATCTAACGTATCCACAGTAATTCTTTAAGTGATCGATTCACAATCGACACCACGTATACAAGTAATACCCCAACATTACCGTACTCAAAGCCACGTTCCCACAACTGCAACACGAACGAATGTGGCCTGAATGCTGGGTTTGCCATGTACGCGAAACGCGGGAAATGGCTTTAAAAGTGATGTAATCTTCCACAGGCACAGCGTCTCTCTGCCGTCCACAGGCACAGCGTGTCTCTGCCTTCCACAGGCACAGCGTGTCTCTGCCTTCCACAGGCACAGCGTGTCCCTCTCCCACAGGCACAGCGTGTCCCTCTCCCACAGGCACAGCGTCTCCCTCTCCCACAGGCACAGCGTCTCTCTCCATTCCACAGGCACAGCGTCTCTCTGCCGTCCACAGGCACAGCGTCTCTCTGCCGTCCACAGGCACAGCGTGTCTCTGCCGTCCACAGGCACAGCGTGTCTCTGCCTTCCACAGGCACAGCGTCTCTCTGCCTTCCACCGATCACCTGCGCTCACACGCCCCCCCCCCCCCTTCTCTAGCTCCGCCCACTTACCCTTGGGTTGGGCCAACCAACCCTTAATAAACTCTTTGTCAGCAGCTCTTTCTCCTATGTCAGCGGTTGTCCTGCTGCATCGGTGCAACCTGATGAAGGTTGCTTGTGTTGCGATCGAAACGTCGTGATTTGTTTGATTTTATTTCTAACTACGTGACTTTACCGAAAGAACCCAAGAGTATTATATACACGTGTAGATGCCACTGGTTCTGCAGATGTAGATCCACTGGTTTTTCACGTTCTGCAGATGTAGATGCCACTGGTTCTTCACGTTCTACAGCTGTAGATGCCACTGCTTCATGTTCTGCAGATGTAGATACCGCCATCTATTGCGGGGCGGTTGAACTTGCGACTCTCAGTCCGAACAGGCAACTGGACATACGGACCAGGTTTGTTCATTTCTCTGAAAGTTCGTAAGTCGAATGTTCGTAAGTAGAGGAGTCCCTGAAGTTTATTTTTAAATGAACAACCTCACGTTGGCACAATACACGCCAAACGCGTGCTGGTGATTGGACAGGGTTTAGGGTCGGGAGCTCCCAAATCCTTACTGAAATACATCATCATCCGCTAAAAACAAAATGTTGGAACGTGAGGAAGAGCCTAAGATTGCTGGGAAAAAAAATCGACCCCAAGCCTTCCTGAACGGGCCACCCTATTGTCCTTGTTTTAGATGGTTAATGCTTTTAAACATCTGTTTAAACATGTTTAAAAGTGCAATACAATGTAAGCTTTATTTCATTACAATCAACCGTGTATGATATCCATAACGTTTTTCGGTTAAATCGCGTGAATATGAATGTGTCGTTAAACCCGCCACCACCCGACACAGCCAATTACTAGGGTTTGTCACGTAAACGGAACGTGCCAATGCGTTACGAGTGTAGTGTCGGTGCAGCGGGTTCACAGGTTCGCCCTCGCTTCTCCCACGTCGTCTAGCCTAGCCTGGACACAACCCTGACCGTGTTACACCGACGGCGTCGACCGACACGGCCAACAACTATCCAATGTCCAGCGAAGCCGACATCGACGACGAGACGAGTCCACTCCCAGAACCGGCAGCCACGAGCTCTCGGCTCCGCCCTGGCCGCGCCTCCCTTCTAGAACCCACTAGCGGCTTCCAGGGGCTTCCAGACGGGGTCTCTTTGACCCTTGACCCCAGTTCCTCCGCCCTGCCGACACACACCGCGTGAGTGCTCGCCGGCGTGTGTACTGCTCGTCCACCGCAGTTGTCGCACATCAGACGGCGCTATTACACGTCACTAGTACAGCACACCTGTGTTGGAGAGTAAACCCACATTTATAATTCGAGTACGACATTTCATCAGTAATTACAATGTTGTGGGTTTACTCTCCAACACACCGGTGTGCTGAACTTGTAATGAATTGGCATGTTTTGTTTGTGACAACCCTTACTATTTGGCTGTCGGGTGGTGGCGGGTTTAATGACATATTTACGCCATCTAACCCAAACAACCTCTATCATGGGTATTGGTCGCAAAAGACTGTTAAAAGTGTTTGTTACTGTACATTGTGTTTACACTGTAATGTTGATTTGAATCAATCACTAAATATACACGTATCAATCCTCCCTTCCTGGGTATGAGACCACATTGTTAATCAGCCAGGAATAACCTCACTACATCTCTTCCGCACATGCTGTGAGCTTAAACTCAACTTGAAGAATCCCCTTTTATTACAATTACATCATGACCAGTAACCAGAGAAGTGATACACAAACAAGTATAGCCTGATTAACCTTTATTTGAGTTAAATAAGCAAATTGCACGATTTTAACAAAGGCAAATTATTGTCAATTTATGAACACAACTCTCATGCATTCCAAATTACAGGTGATGCTTGTAAACACGTCGCAATTTACAATAAACACATCTGTGACAATCATGAAACAATGTATACCGTACAAGTACTTTACCGAATGAACTATCTCCCTTTGGGGCACGTATTAAACATTTTTGCTGCTGGTCCATTTTCAAGAAATTATTTTCATTCAAACAGCAGCTCTTGACAACTATAACGCATGGGACGTTATTGCCAGGATCTGTTCGCATTTTGGTGTTCTCTGGTCTGACACTGGAGAAGACTAGGCCTTAAAGAAGGCTGTCTGGTGTAGGTCGATCAGTTTCAAAGACAATGAAAATGTTATCAGAGCATGTTTTGTTTGCATGTTCACCACAAGTACCGTGTGGCAAATGCGAACTTGATTCCTTGCAAAAGGTTTATATTTGGTGTTTGAACATCTTAACACAACTGTTGTATTGCCATAAAGGGTAAAAACCTATTTTTATTTTTTTCATAACTATAATGAATACCTACAAAAATAATACGTTTTCACCGTCACACATGGAACTTCGTATGGTGAAAAAAAATTACTATGACATTACTATAATCTCACCAGCGTAGCAGCAGGGTGGGTTAGTGGCACAACCTACGTTTGATTCCCGGCCACAGCTAAGTGGAGCGTGGCCATCTCAACCGGTTAATGGCGTTCCCACCACCAGCTAATACAGAGCACCGTCAACAATATGAGGAGGCCTTCATCATCCTTTCATATATCAACGGTCATATTTTTTTTACATTGTACAGCTTTTTAATATTTCACAAAATAATTCCAAATTTAGATTTAGGTTGAACGTTGTCATTCTTCAGCCATCTTCGGACCTACAGATAAGACATTGCTGGAAGACGATCAATTCTCGACTGCGAGTGACTGCCGAAGGCTCGCGTTTTGTACGGTCCGCGACGCATCCAAATTCCTACTCAATTTTAAATGCATAGCACCACAAGATTACGGGGGGAGGGAAGCATCGTCAAATGTTGGCATCGAGAACATGCAACCTTTTCCGAATTTTGGTGCTTGCAAATTTTCTCAGGTTGGCTCTAATCTGTTTTGAAGATTAGATACAGCAGACATACAGGGGGCAAAGCGGGGGGTGGGGCAAAGCGCAGGAGCAAGTTCAGGCAATGCAGGACCATATCCATCCTAAGGGTGTGCAATTCTAAGCGCGGTGGAATTAACAGGGGAGCGTAGAGTCCTAAAGGTGTTTTCTCGATCGTTCTCACTCCACGCCGCACACCGTGTAGATCTTCACGGCCGCACCGAACCAAAACATCCCGAGGGCCCGGGTGGCTGGGTAGGTGGGAATGCGTTGGAGCGGAAAGAGAATACCCACTTACTTACTCATACTCACCCGGCATAGATTTATAATACTTATAAGCTCTCCTTTAGAAGTTATGCTTGAAAAGGACTGTGTGCGTATGCGTGCAAGTCTGTGTGGGTGAGAGGGTGTGCACGTGCTTGTGTATGTGCGTGGTGAATGTATTTGTGCGAGAGACCACGAGTGTGGATGCACGTTTATGCATGCATTTCATACATGTGTGTATGTGCATTTCCATCTGCGTATGTACAAATGAATACTGGATAGTAGTGCTTGGCTATAGTAAAGCAGTAGACTTGGGTGAAATAAGACAGGATAGACTCTATCCTATCTTACGTACCTTTTATAAAATATTGAAAATATGGCAGCACACCGGTGACTTTGCAGAGGCACACCGGCTGCAAAGCACTGCTTCAGGTATGTTGAACTTCATGCATGTTGAACTTCCTTTGCACCGTACGTAGTCAATCCATGCAAATCGGAGGTGCGGGGGATGGACAACAGACTAAACACAACAAAAATTATTTTGAACATTATTTTTACATTATTACTTAACACTGTTATTGTCTGAACACGCACTCACCTTTCATGGAGCGGTCCATGGTCAGTTTTAAGTTTAAAATCGATGAAGCCCATAACGTATAACCATCTAGAGTGAGATTCCACGTCGCTTGTCAATGAGCAAGTCCATACACGTGTCAGTTGTACAGCGACTTATGTATCATTTTACTCCGAGGCAGAGAATACACAGCTGTCAACCCATACGGTTAACCCCGTTCTCGTACAGGGAAATTGAGTTTTCAGGTCCATACGGCATACATCCGTTTCAATACGGGCGAATAAATGTTTTTTGTCTATTTGTTTGTGTTTCTCTCTTGTGATGGGACTTTGTAGGGTGAACGTTGAGATTTATAACGGCAAGGGTGACCCAATAAGGTATAAATTGGTCTTTAATAAGGTAGGGCACTGATAAGGGTTTGACAGGTATGAGAATGGCCAAGTGGAGGCGGTTAAATTTCGATTTAAAGCTTTCGTGACTGCAATGATTCATCTTCTTTGGTTCTTTCGGTAAAGTCACGTAGAATGTGACTTTACCGAAAGAACCAAAGAAGAAAAATGGCCAAGTGGGCTATGAGTATTTATCCCAAAAATTTTACAATGTTCTGTCAAATCAGAACACTTGCCAGCCATGCTATTAACTTTGAACAAATCCTAGAGCTCTTCATTATGAGTATGCGTTTTCCTGTGTCTCTTTAAGTGGGAAATACACGAAAATCCTTTCCCACACTCAATGCACACGTGCGGCCTCTCGCCAGTGTGAGTCCGACGATGCGTCTTTAGGTTGGAAAGGTTCGAAAAGCCTTTGCCGCAAACCTTACAGGCATACGGCCTCACACCTGTGTGTGTCCTTTCGTGTGTCTGCAAGTGGAAAATATGAGAAAATCCCTTTCCGCACTTTTCACAGACGTGAGGCCAATGTCCGGTGTGTGTCAGGCGGTGAGTCTTCAAGTTTGAAATCTGAGAAAACTCCTTTCCGCACTCCTCGCACATATACGGCCTTTCCCTCGTGTGCGTTCGTTGATGCATCTTCAGAGTGGAAATTTGCGAGAAGCCTTTGCCGCACTCTTCACAGATGTACGGCTTCTCTCCGGTGTGTATCATCTTGTGCGTTTTGAGGTAAGCAACCTGGGAGAAGCCTTTGCCGCACTCTTCACAGGTGTACGGCTTCTCTCCGGTGTGTATCCTCTGATGAGTCTTCAGATGGGAAACGCACGAATATCCTTTTCCGCACTCATCGCACACATGAGGCCACTCTCTGGTGTGCGTCATCTGATGTGAAGTCAGCTGGGAGATCTGCGAAAACCCTTTACCACACTGGTTACAAACGTGTGGCCACACTCCAGTGTGTGCCATCTGATGTATTTTCAGGTGGGAAATATCGGCAAATCCCTTCCCGCACTCATCACACTTGTACGGCTTTTCCCCGGTGTGCGTCCTCTTGTGCTTTTCCAAATGAGAAATGCATGAAAATCCTTTCCCGCACTCTTCACAGACGTATGGCCACTCTCCGGTATGTGTCATCTTGTGGGTGTTGAGTTGCGATACGTGTGGAAAGCCCTTTCCGCACGCGTCACAAACGTGCGGCCACTCTCCCGTGTGCGTTACCTGATGGGTCTTCAGGTTGAAAAGTTTCGAGAATCTTTTTCCGCACTCGTTGCAAAAGTACGGTTTTGAATGTGTCATCTGATGCCTCTTCAGTTTAGAAGTTAATGCAAAAGCCTTCCCGCATTCCTTACAAGGGAATAACTTCTCAGAAGATTTTGCTTGTGTACATTCCATGGAAAAGAAAAATGCAAATGGTTAAAATACTCAAAGTACTTGCATCTATTATTGTTTAGAAGCAATAAATACATCAGGTACAATATATTGTTTATGCAACTTCAAGCATATTCAAGTATTACACATACAGTACTGTTTATTGGAATTACCAATGTCTAATTTTCCCACATTGCAATCTCAGCAAATTACGTGAAATGGTCAAACAGTACAACATAATTCGTATTTTACCCTGCAGAAGCCACTGCACAATGTGCTACTTGGCACCGGCGAGGTGGCACAATAAACGCCCGAGCAAACTTATTGCCACGAATTCTGGGCCGCCTCAGGTGTCCCACTGTTAATCAATGTTGCCCGGTGTGCGAATCAGCGCTGCCCGCTCTCGCGTTGGCAGCCACGTGGTCGAGTCCTTGCTGTGATGAGCGACCAGGAGACGGACGCGGTTTTGGGAGTTGCAAAAGACATTACAGAATACAAACGCAGACACAACCTTCTCCGCCGGAGCAGGCGAGCATAAATCTCTGCTGCTTAGAAAATCGGACCTGTGAGGGGAGGCCGGGAGGGCGATTGTCAGAATCGGAATTTTTATTTGTACTGGAGGAATCTGCTGAGCCGTTAAGGTATTTTTCACAGACGTGCAGTATTGTGGGCGGATAAGCCCCAAAAAAATATTCTCAAATAACCCAGGCTGATTTGTACGTATGAAAGAAGTATGTATGTGTATATATATGAAAGAAGTTAAACATACATATATACAAATCAGGCTGGGTTATTTGAGAACATATTTTTGGGCATATACGCCCACAATACTGGACATCTGTGAAAACTGCTGCAGATCAGGTGAAATGTAACTTAATTGCGATAAACATCCTAACTAGTGGAGTTTATTGTAAAGAGTACCAAATAATGTAGTGAGAAAAGTCACTGTAAACATTCAGCAGCAGTAGTTGACTTTATTTTCAACATCCTCAGATTGGCCCTATTATTTCCCAATAACTCTTAATGTCAATTTGGTTTTTCTACCTTGCCACTCCCTTGTGCCCTCCATGCCATCTTTAAACCAAAATGACCATGAAATAATTCTGGCCCATTTCTAACAGCACGGTGTCTTGAACGTGAACCTATCGCACGTGGCTCGGCTACTAAACTCGGTCTTACATTTTCTGTAATCGTAAGCTTTCTTCATCCGCAAGGCCCTACACTAACGGTGACTCTCAGCCCCAAAGCCCAGCCTCATTCTTTCATGAAATCCCAACCTGTCGCCAAAAGCATCTCCAAAATGTAAAACAATTTCCGGAGAGTTTTGTGCATTTGCTGACATGAAAGGAACACTTTGAACGGTCCTTACCATTGTTGTTGTCACCCTTAATTCTGCATTCTTGTGATTTCAACATCTCTTCAGCTCTCACACTGGAAAGGCCAAAGCGACTGCTGCAGAGCTGGTAGGATATTGGTAAATAAAATAAATAAAACAACAGCATTCAATTAGTGCAGTTTATGTCAAAATAACACAAACGCATGGTAAGGCTCTGTTACATTTCACGACAGTGCTTGATTTAACGTTCAACATTATTTAGTTCTATAGCGGTCTTATTTTGAAGATATTTAGGTTAAAAGATAATCAGGAGAACATTTGCAACTTTAAAATCTATTGGCTGCTGAGGTTGTGCTTACAGAGCATAACCCATCATCTGATTTATCTGGAAACCTTATTCATGGGGTCATGATCCCAAGGGGAACAACCAAGGGTGACTGAATTGGTTCCTGATTCAACTTGTGCACATTTTGAAATACACATTTGAAGAAGTTGGCCAAACATCTCAGTGAAAAAATGTCATGAGAATTGGTGAGCTTTTCATAGGTTAATGTTCTTTTAAATTAGGTTCACAAATGTAGGATGAACGTCCAATACACTATCTGCTGGCTTGTGCTTAAAATCCACAAACTACAAAACAATCTGGGCCTGATTCATGCAGATATTTTGGGTGTTGTTGTTTCAACCAGTTTTTGGCAGAATGCTGGCCAGTTTCACGTAATAGTGGAAACATTTAGCATTTTATGTATGGCCGATTCCATAAAAAAAATCGAACCGTTCAAATACTCGTCAATTGCGGAATGGTCCAAAGTGTGGCAGGGTAAGGGCTGCACCAACAATTGTTGAAAAGCGATTACTGGAGGCATGGGTAGGTAGTGAGGAATGAATTTGGTGGAATTCCACAAAAGTTCTGAAAATGCAACAACAAAAAAAACATGCGGTAATGTAATCTATGCGTGCCATTTGTTCACATTCTGCAATACTCAACCCGCAGGACAACTGCTGAATTCCCACAGTGTTAGCAATTTGAGGCCAGAGGTATTGCAGACTGAGTTGGATGCGAACTCACCGGCGCCGTGTACTACCGTACGAGGTAGAGCTGCTCTCATCAGCAGGGCAGAGGTTGAATTCGGGCCCGTGGTCAAGAGGTCGTGCAATCAAGTCATCAGACGTGGCGATTCTATGCGATGGCCGGGGGCCTGTGACCACCCCCCCCCCCAATTAATGGACAGCTGTGCTCTTGAGGCAGCTTCTTGGGGTGGTTGCGGAGGAACTCGAGTTCATGTTAAAGAGGATAACAGCTACTCGTGCTGTGGACGCCACCACCAAGCCATAGCTTCTTATATTCTCCTGCCAGATTCCGTAGCGGCTGCACGGTCGACACCTGTGACGAGTTGCATAAAACATTAATACTTAAACGTATTGTGGCTAATCATCTTAGAAAGATGGTCACCACATCGCGCCCGGTCAGATGCGCTTCTGCGGCCGTCTGGAACGCTCTTCCTTCCGATATGAGGAAGCCACTGGAAGCTATGCACGTTTAAATGATCTATATTGAAAACGAATTTCTTTAGAACTGCTTTTTGTGTTTAGTTTGTTGTCCTTCCCCCGCACCTCCAATTAGTGTGGTTTGCTACGTACGGTGCGAAAGAAGTTCAACATACACACATACATACAACACATTGACTTTACATGTTTTACTAAACTGGCTAATGACCTTACACGGTCAGCTATCAGTGCCCCACCAATGTTGTTTTTATACATTCAAGTGTGAATATGGTGCCCAGCCCCATGGTACGTGGTTGCCCTCATGGGTAGGTAGTGTCCTCCTGGTACCCGCTGAGTGCTGGTGTCTCCACTGCTCGTCAGCGAGGCCCCTGTGGTGACCTCCTCACCTGGTGCGCAGCGGTGAGAGCAGGAGGCGAGACCCCAGTCCGTGGCGCTGCGCCTTCTTCACTCACAGCCATTGCCTGTGGAGTAGCGGCAGCAGAGAGGCAATGGGAGCAGCATCAGGCGAGTTCACAATGCAAGGAAGCCCTTGTCCCTTAACATTGCCAGGATAAACACATCGTATAAGACCATCGCACCTCCTGGATTTTACATTCCTCCTCCACCTCCTCGAAGACACTGGTGGTTGTAACGGTCAACCTCACCAAAACATCAACAGGAGGCCCCATGCGCATGCCCCTCCTCAATGAATGGTAAATGAAAACAGACCAGCCACCAGTCGTGCGATTGTGGCCATGCAACCCAAACTACAGACCCATATAGTAAACCCATGAAGACACAAATACAGGGTGCTTAAAAAATGTTTTAACACTTCTGAGATTTTGCAACAATACCACGTGACATGTGCCGCTGCCGCCTCCGGGCTCTGGAGAGCACCTGGAGAAGATTCCAGGCCACGTGCTGACGATGATCGCGAATAAGTGGAGACTTTTTTAAGTTTATTAACGTAATTTTGTTTTTGCCCACTTCAGCAATTATTTCTTGCTGTGGTTGTCCCACCTGATGACGGACGCTTGTGTTGCGCCCGAAACGTCGTGATTCAATTTATTTGATACCTACGTGACTTTACCGAAAGAACCAAAGAGTATACTTTTGTTATCATGTTACATTGTATTATTTTTCCCATGTAAGAAGTTCGCATTTTTTTGAAGCACCTTGTACATACAGACTCATTGAAACACATAGAGAACAAGAGGTACATTAAAGACAAGCCACCAGTTATGAAAATTGTGGCCATGCAACCCAAACTCTGGATCGCACGGTAAATCCACTGTGGTCTGCGCTCCTTCAACCGAGGAGGAAGAGCCAAACGACACGAACTCTCTCCTGAAGCCCTCTCGTCGTGGCTAGCAGGCAGACCTCGACACTGGCATCTCGCTACTGAACAGAATGAAAGTGTAAACACCAGCACACACCATCACTAAACACGCGACAGTACGTACACCCAAGTGGCACTACTACACTCTATTACACTCACACTCCCTATTGCTCCCTCCCTCGCTCTGTCTCTAACACTCTCATGAACGCTCAGACCCTCACACTAACCTCCTTTCCATAAACCCTCATTGTGACACTCTCTCTCTCACACTCACTAACACTCTCTCTCACACTCACAAACACTCTCTCTCACACTCACTAACACTCTCTCACACTCACTAACACTCTCTCACACACTCACTAACACTCTCACACTCACTAACACTCTCTCACACTCACTAACACTTTCTCTCACACTCACTAACACTCTCTCACACTCACTAACACTCTCTCATGCCCTTACACTCTCACACTCACTAACACTCTCTCACACTCACTAACACTCTCTCATGCCTTTACACTCTCACACTCACTAACACTCTCACACTAACACTCTCACACTCACTAACACTCTCTCACACTCTCTCATGCCCTTACACTCTCTCACACTCTCTCTCACACTCACTAACATTCTCTCACACTTCATAATATAACCAAACAAATACAGCCCTACATCGGTAAGACATCTTCATTCATAAAAAATGCAGAACATCTTGTGAATGTGATTAAAGATATTAAACTTACTCCTGATGATATTCTGGTAAGTTTTGATGTGATTTCTCTATTCACTAAGGTTCCAGTGGACGAATCGCTTAAATTACTTGATACACTAGTAAAGAATACCGGTTTACCAAAAGATATTCCGAAACTTGCTGGCCATTGTTTAAATAACACTTACTTCTTATGGAGAGGAGATTTCTTTAAACAAAAGGAAGGAGCAGCAATGGGTTCTCCTTTATCCCCTGCTATAGCAAATTTGTACTTGGAAAACTTTGAAATAAGAGCACTTGCCTCGAGCACATTAAAACCATCCTTTTGGTTTAGGTATGTGGATGACACTTTGGTTGTTTGGCCACATGGTAAAGATACACTTAATGGTTTTCTAAATCATCTCAATGCACAAAACCCGGCCATCCAGTTCACCATGGAAATGGAGGTGAATAACACACTCCCATTCCTAGATATTTTGCTTGGACATGGCCTAAACGGTAAAATAACACACAGCGTTTACAGAAAGCAAACGCACACTGATGCCTATCTGAATGCAGAATCACATCATCATCCAGCTCAGAAATCCTCTCTTATCAAGACGCTCATACATCGGGCTAAAACAGTGTCAGATGGTGAGAGTCTAGTGAGAGAGATTAAACACGTTAAAGACGCACTACGACAGAATGGCTACAATAATGCTCAAATTAACAGAGCACTGAATGCCAAATCACGATCGCAAAGCAATACTGCTGAAAGCGACCAGATTGTTAAAACAATAAAAATTCCATATATCTCAGGAGTAACTGACAAATTAGCCCGTGTTTTGCAAAAGCAAAACATTACAGTAAGATTTGGTACAGTACACAAAATTCAAAAACTAGCATCTTGCACTAAAGACGCATTACCTAAACTATCAACAGAAGGTGTATAGTGGATTAATTGTTCATGTGGCAGCTGCTACATTGGGCAGACGGGACGTAACATCAGCGTAAGACTAAAAGAACATCAGAGAAATATTAAATTATCTCAAACACAACTGTGGGCAGTGGCAGAACATGCTTGTCAACAAGGTCACTCAATTGATTTTGACAATGTTGAGTGGTGTGTAAAACTAACTATTACTGGCAAAGACTAATTAGAGAATCCATTGAAATTGAGAGGAACAAGAATAAATTTCGATTTAAAGCTTTCGTGACTGCAATGATTCATCTTCTTTGGTTCTTTCGGTAAAGTCACGTAGAATGAGAATAAAATAATAAATTGATAAAATAAAATAACACAATAATATTCTCACGACGTTTCGGCCACAACACAAGCGGCCTTCATCAGGTGAAGGGAGCGAGACTGTCTGGTAGGACAGGACAGCGCTGTCCTACCAGACAGTCTCGCTCCCTTCACCTGATGAAGGCCGCTTGTGTTGTGGCCGAAACGTCGTGAGAATATTGTGTTATTTTATTTTATCAATTTATTATTTTATTCTCATTCTACGTGACTTTACCGAAAGAACCAAAGAAGATGAACAAGAATAACTTTAATCGCTCTGACAGCTACCGGCTTAGTGCGGCCTGGAAGCGTATTATTAAATAATACACATTACATTTTGATTTAAAGAATTACTAATCTACAACTCATTACTAATCATAACCAATGACTGATTACTAATCGATTATATAATTACAATACCCCCCTCCGCCTCTAATCACTGAACCTGATATGAGTTAAGTGATGACGTCATCCTGCTGCTCTATATAAAACCGGGAGCAAGCGAGGGCTTTACCATTCTGGCGAATTGCCCGATGATGCTGGATGTATTTACCAGCGAAACGTCGTACTCAAACTGTAAATGTGGAGTCACTCTTCAACACACCGGTGGGCTAAAGTAGTGAATTATTTGTCTTTTGTCAACGTGACACTTTTTTGCTGATTGGCCGTGTCGGGTGGTGGAGGGTTACGACACATTTATAAATAAACGCGATCTAACCCAAAAACCTTTATTATGAATAATATTGGTCGCGAAAGCCTACGTGTTAAACTGACTCTCTCACACTCACTAACACTCTCTCATGCCCTTACACTCTCTCACACTCACTAACACCCTCTCACACTCTCTCATGCCCTTACACTCTCACACTCACTAACACTCTCACACTAACACTCTCTCATGCCCTTACACTCTCTCACACACTCTCTCTCACTCTCTCACACTCTCACTCTCTCTCTCACACTCTCTCTGACACTCTCTGACACTCTCTCACTCTCTCTCACACTCACTCTCTCACACTCTCACACTTTCTCACTTTCGCTCTCACTCTCTCTCACTCTCACACTCTCTCACACTCTCTCGCTCACACTCTCTCTCTCACACTCTCTCACTCTCTCACACTCTCACTCTCTCTCTCACTCTCACACTCTCTCTCTCTCACTCTCACACTATCTCTCACACTCTCTCTCTCACTCTCTCACGCTCTCTCACACTCTCTCTCACGCTCTCTCACACTCTCACTCACTCTCTCACACTCTCTCTCA